CTAGCGTTCCCAGCGTCACCAGCGCACGCTGGGAACGCTAGATCGATATGCATCCTCTCCCCGGCACTGCCGCTGGCGTACGCTGGAAGCGCTACGCTACGCTGCCGCAAAGTATAAACGCAGCTTAATGACATTAACGTGGCCAAGGCACACGAAAAAACCGCTGCTATGGCCGCGAAATGAATAGTGAGTAGACAAGTGAAACCTGGCCCCCGATATGATGAACGGTAACCGAAAATCAAAACAAGTGGATGGTGCTCGGGATAACACCAAATACAGGGGCACGACCGTGATCGTGGTTTTGCGAACAATAATGTTCCACTAATCAGGGTGCATCGAAACATAGTATGTGAAAATAACAAAGCCCTGTAATGCGTATAAGGCGATAGTTGTTTCTTTCCAAAACTAATGATAGGAGGGTAGAAGACCGTTAGGCTCCCAAGGCAGTAGCCATCAGAGTGCACTTCTCAAAAACTAAGGAGGATAGTTGCGTAGCGGAGGAGAAGAGTTAGAATTAGAGGGCGACAAAGTTGCCGTTAAATATTGCTTCCCTCCTGGTCCCCTGGTAAAACTTGGGCTCAGCCCACAAGTCACTGCGCAGTTACGAGCACCGGTTTAACGGAGAACTGAACGGTGATCACAAAAACGCGCACAGTTCAGCGCTAATAGGGGAAGGATCCTTATGAGAATCTCGGGCTCGTTCATTGAAAAAATTAAACAAAAACTTCGTATAATAAGAAGCCCTAACGGGTTAACCAATGAATGCACCCCAAAAGCAAAAAAATCAGTTACTGATCGTTTAACCCACCTGAAAGCTATTTCTATCTCCAACTTTGTTCGTATGTTGAACTGAATGGCAACAAAACGACCTTCGTGGAATGGTTTCTGTTGTCCCAACTGGTACACAAGACCAGAGTCGGACTCCAAAGCACGCTTAATATCAAATGCTTCAGAAATATGTATACATATATGCACTACATGCCCGACAATGTGAAATTCTGCATAGACATATGGAAACAGCATAAACTTCAAAATACATACCGTGTTCATGAGAATGAGATCATTCAAGTGATCCAAGTGAACATCTTCATCCCAAATTAAAGTCGAATGAAGGACTTCTTTTTCATTTTTTACATTTATCGCGAGTTTGATATCGCCAAACAGCTGCGTCCGCCCAGTTATAGGATCCCTCAAATGGTTTCCCATACGGAATTTCGACTGTGAGTCCTGAAAGTCAACTAAACTGTATTGGAACAGAATGGACCACATATATTAGGTTGTCGCATAAGTTCTTATACACGTGTTTGATCCTCTCCTATTTCGTTCGCATGGATGTTGGTATTACGTCATCACGTGTGCGTGTACATTATACTCTTTCATTACACTAGCTATCACTCACCGAGCTTGCATTTGCAGTACACAATTTGCACTGTGACAAAACGTACCTGCGCCACTGTTTGGTTTTGCTCCACGATTTCGGCTGGAATGCAAAGGAAGCCCATACCAAGCTGGTGGATACATACGGTGAGGACGTCATCTCTTACATGACATGCAAGAATTGGTTCGCCAAATTCAAGAAAGGAGACTTTTCTCTCGAAGATGCTGTCGGGTCGGCCGATGGAGTTGGATTTGGAAGTACTACGTTCCACCGTGGAGGAGGACCCGTACCTCACCACCAGAGAAATGGCGACCATGCTTACAAGGGAGGTCGTTCAGGCCGTGGTGAGCTTTTTCAAAACGGTTTGTTGCATGTTGTAGGGGTCCATGCAAGGACCACACAGATGGGGTTCATTTTTGCTAAACGGTACTGGGAATGTCAAAAAAAGGTCGAAAATAATTTGAAAAGAATGGGCCATTTAAACCACCTTATTCGCCTCTGTTCTAGCTGTAGCGTTGATAGGTATAGTATGTGAGGTATTCTTTGAGCAGGCATGAAAAACAGCGCAAAATAAGGTCAAATCCAAGTACTTTACTTGGCATGTGGTGAGCTCACTGGAGTTTTCTGGTCATCTGCGCTTTCTCTTTTCACTAGGTCTTGCATCTCAACTGCCGCAGCGGCAGATGGTGTGGTGGATAGCGCGTTGGGCTATCAGTCATTAGGTTTATGGATCGGATCCTTCTGGCGACACGCTTTTTGCATTTTTCAGATTTCTCGCTTCTTGTATTCCTGTATGCCCCATAATGCGTATGACCCGGATATACGCCATTTAAAGGCACATTCTATGTGGGAACGGTTCACAAAGGGACCTCACTCAATTGTTACGCTCGCGAAATACCATCGAAGAAACTCTCCATGAAACTTGGGTTACGGCGGTTATCTGATGCTCTGATCACGAATATGACACTCATTTTTAAATATGGCACAATGTGTCGCCAATTTGGTGCAAAGGCTTCCTTGTGCTAACACATTGTCAGTCTGCGCGGCGGGGCTATTTAGCGCCATACTGGCCCCAGATGGCCTCCGCGCAAAAATAAGTATCTGAACCGTGATCAGGACCATCAATTACCCCTACGTATAGAGTTACGCCGAGAAAAATTTTTCCGAGCTTTTTGTGTTATGATGCCTGCCATGTCTCCAGCTAGTGGCTATCAGTCCCCCCCCTCCCCCAGAAGTCGTTATCCAACATCGTTAATAGGGAGCTTTTCATTCCCTAGTATGCAGACGCATAATTAGCAACTACAAAATTCAAAAAAGAAGTGACACGCAAGCACTGCACACCTTGCACTTTTGATGTGAGGGGAACGAGATCCTTTTCCGGGCAGGAGGTAACGAGTTCTTTGTCGAAAGCACAGACGGTAAAAGTGGAGGAAGTTTCAGGATGTTCGTTTAGTGACTCCGAAGCTAGCACGATGTTCTATGAAGACGTACTGAAGTTTAGAGTGCAAGAAATGAAAAATTTCCGGCGGTTAGTATGCCAGAGAGGATACTTAACGGAGGGTTCGCCTGTCACTGCCATCCAAATGGTCAGCTCCATGACCACCAAAAAACTCGAAAAAAATTTTCTGCTGAAACCTCGTATACAGGGGTAATTTATGGCCCTGGTCACGATTTTGATGATTATTTGCGACGCTGACGTGATCTGGGGCCAGCGTGGCGCTAAATGGCCACTGCGAGCGCGAAGGGATGCCGCACAAACCCCCAAAGAAACAGCAGTTTACCTCACTGGATGCCAAGTAAGGTACTTAAATTTCGACCTTATTTCGCGTTGTTTTCCATGTCTAGTTAAGGAACACTTCATAAATTATATGTATTCCGCTTTACAGCTAAAGCAGAGGCGAATGAGATGATAAAACTTGCGTATTTTGAGCGATTTGTTTTTATTCTTTTTTGGCATTCCCAATAGCGTTTAGCAAAAATGAACCCCATCTGTGTGGTCCTTGTATGGACCCCTACAACATGCAACAAACCGTTTTGAAAAAGCTCACCACGGCCTGAACGACCTCCCTTGTTAGCTATGATCATTCGACGGTTGCACGTGGACTAGAAAAGCTCGGCAAGGTAGCAAAGCTTGGTCGATGGGTCCCACATGAACTGTCCGCTTATGACCTCTCGAGGAGGGTGACCACCTGCACTTCTCTCCTCACTTTCCAAGAGGCTTCACTTTCTCAACTCGATGATCACTGGAGATGAGAAGTGGGTCCTCTACGATAACCCTGTGAGGAAGCGGCAGTGGGTCGACAAAGGAGAACAGCCAGAAGCCACCCCAAAGGCCGACCTTCACCCCAAAAAGGTTCTCCTGTCCTGTTGGTGGTCCAGAAGAGGCATGGAGTACTGGGAGCTGCTGGAGAAGGGACAGACGATTGACGCTTCCACATACGTGACCCAGCTGCGGAAATTGAAAGATCACGTCGTGGAAGGAATGCGGAAATCTACTTCCACCATGACAACGCCCGACCTCACACTGCAAAGGCGACCCAGGCCGAGCTGGAGAAGTACGGATGGCTGATGGTCGCCCACCCTCCCTACAGCCCTGACCTCGCTCCTTCTGACTACTGGCTGTTCAGCCACCTGCAGCGCTATCTGGACGGAAAAAAGTTCGAAACAAAGGATCAGGTCAGAAAGGCGCTCGACGACTTCTTCAAGTCCCAGCCTCCGTCGTTCTGGAAGGATGGAATCGACAAGCTGCCTGAGCGCGTCGAGTAGTGAATGGTGATGGTGCATACCTCTAATCTCCAGGCTGGTTCGTTTTTGAGATATTTACAAAAAAGTCGTGTATAAGAACTTATGCGACAACCTAATACAAGAGGGAGGGGGCAGAAAAAAACCCTTTTCCTCTTCGACTTTCAAGGCAATATAGGTCACACTTTTGAATTTTGATTGGACATTTTCACCATCAAATTCAACAACCATTGCACACGATCACGAAACTCCGCCACAGCCTTCTGGACGAACGCCATCGAGAGATTCTGCCACGCGACCGTGATTCGGTGCCTGAGTTCAGCGAGGTCGTTGATTTCTCCGCCACTGTAGACCACCCTGTTGAGCTCCGCCCGAACCGGGTAATTGAGGGGTTTAGGTCAGGTGACACACTTGGATATTCCGTCTTCTTCAGGTACTCAACGCCCTTCCATTCCAAGTAGGCGAGAGTTTTTCCAACGCCCTTCGATTCCATGTGCTGGCACCCAATCCTGTAGGTATGATGTTTCCAGGACGGTACAGGCGGCGAAATGAAGGCAAGATATTTTCTTGTGATGGCTTTTGCAAGTCGGGTAAGCGCGAGCTTTGTCTTGAAGTAAGTCAACATTGATGTGAACCCACAATACTCTTTTATCAGCTCACCGCGTGCGAACATGAGTATTTTGTTCAAAAAGTCTTACCTGTGCTACCATATAAAGTATTACGGTGTATTTAGTTTTTGGTTCGATACGCATACGAGCAGTCCATGCCTCGGCATCATTGATCCAGTCAAAACTTAGCTGACTAGTGCGTTCAGTTACATTCTCGCGACCAAAAGTACGGCCATCAGCAGCGTACCAGCCATAATTCTTCAGGTCATCTCCTTGAAAACACAACTCTTTCAGACAGTACTGCAATTGTGAAGTGTATAAGATGTACAAGGGAGTAAATTTCTCGACTTTTACCTTGGTCGCACCAATGCCTGAGACGTGGCATCTGCATAACTTCTGGTTGCTCATACCACATGACCCCGAAAAGAGGCGAACGTGGATCTCTCGTCCGCAAGCCAAAATACGTATGCGATCGATATGAACCCCATTTCTTCTATAATATGGTAAATAAACATATCATTGGCTATAAAGCTAGAAAAAAAATTGATGAAAATTCAGGTCTCAGGTGTTCAACAAACCGACTGGGCACACAAAGCAACCACTAACCACTTGTCTACCTTCCTTTGTTTCCCAGTGTTTAATCGAATACTCCTCCACTTTTTCTCCAAGAACCTTCCGATGAGCGTGATGGTGAGGGGGTGTATATCGCGCACTTGAAAGAGGAAATCTCAAAAGCAGTTGCGACCCCCTCTCCATCCAGTGACCAAACACCGCTCCCCCTCGCTAGGCATCCTCAACGTAGCACGCGCCTTGTGTGTTAAACGGTTTCAACAAAATTATGCACGAGCGTGCATTAAAATCGGCTCACAGCCAGCGTGGCAGCAAAGTTGGATGATAAAAATCGTGCGCTACTCGACCTCGGCTCTATCCAGCGTCGAACAGAAGCTCCGCCACAGAACGCATACAGGGACATTGCTCTCCACAATGTACAGCACCCTTACATCGAAAAAAATCAAAAATTAGCGGGGACCAATGGCATCAACTACATCGACCACAACGCCAGTTCCCGATTAACTCGTCATTGCATTCGCTCGCACAAGTGTGTTCGCTAGAGGGTTTTATCCTCGACACTGGCGACGAAGTTCTTCTGTTCCCTCTCCACATGTACTTCCTGGCACGTTGGCATATTTGAGTCCTACTATCCAATGTATCTGATCGCGTGTTTTGCTTTTGGCATGTGTACATATTAACATAAAGTAGTCGGACACGCACACAGGAATCATCCAAATCTGCAACTAACTGATGCCGCTTATCCGTCAACAACTGTTAGTGAACGGGTTTGACGAAGCGCCAAACCCCTCCCCCGCCTGACACGTTCCCTCATTCGCAGCGAACGAGGTTGTTTGTACCTCGTTCTCGGCTTCAAACCTTTATTCAGAGGAATCACATAAGTGGTGAAAAGAAAAAAAAGCTAGAAAATCGTCGACTCACACGGTCAATACTAAGGCCACCGACTGGCGGCTGTAGCTTCCGCAGATATCGCTGAGGATTGATGATCTCTGTATAAGTGAAGTATGATAACACAGCAATTACAGCGCTGATTGCGACCAACGTGATCCAGCTCATTCCTCCCTACAAATCGAATTCATTACAGACTGATTACTGAGAGGAGACGTTCAATACCTGTTTCTTGCCTGGTCTCTGCTTCCCAGCTGAGATGCTTTTTTGCTTTGGTGGTTTTACCCCTTGCTTACCGGCCATCTATTCGCCTGAAATTCTTCATCCCACTTTACTAAACAACTTCGACTAATGCTTAGTTGTTTCCATTCGGCTTTCAAAACTAATAGCAATCGGTTCAAAACTAAGTGTGAGGGCGGTTCACATACAAGGCCACTGAAGGATTAGAGAACCAGCAGAAATGGAAAATATGCGAAAGAGTATAAATACGAAATGATCCTTTCGAATTCCCCCAAGTGATAAATTGGCGAAGCCTACTCGTACGTACTGGCAATTTCTGTAAATTCTAACTATTCAGCGATTCCCGATCTCAGAGAGCTGAAAAGTAATCAAAATGTCTGGGATCGCGAGTGTTCGAAAAACGTGAACATAACAAGACGGCCTTCCAGGTTAAGCACGAGTAAAACAAATGATCGTTAAAAATAGTAGTTCTCTTTGGAAAGCTGTATGAAACATTCACGTTTGGCCTTGACGCCAATCGTAGGTGCACAATGTGGGGAGGAAAGAGGAACCACTACGATTCCATAGAGCTGCTACACCCAAACACCAAAAAAGCTCCAAAAAAACGATCGTCATTGAACAATACCAGTAATTGAATGTGTTTCGTCCAGTTCCATGTACCTGGTGCAGTTACCTCGCCTACGCCGGATTTCACGCGCAAGCCGTATCGCAAAAAAATTCTGGAACTGTGCGGAGAGGACTATTCTAGCTGCTGTTGTGAGTTTTTCGAATTTTACGGAAAATATATGGGGCATAAGTGTCGAACCACATATGGGAGGTCTACTGATACTACAAAGAGTATGGGGGTTTCAAAAACAAAAAGGTTAAGGGGTGCGGAAGGGCTGTACGAAATCAAGTGCGCTCCTTATACAACAACAAATCTATTTCATTTCCTGGTGTGCGATCCATGGCCACGATTTCCTTTGGGGGAAAGTATTATCAGTACGAGAAAGGTAGTGGTTGCTGGGCAACAAGCTGACCTTCAGCCATTTTACCGTTCATAAATTGTCGTTGGCGGATAGAGCACACAAGGTAAAGATCGCAGTTACACTAGCGCATGATCTACTGGCAATTATGAATTCAGGATGATTTGGCGAACCGTTATTCATGTCTCAAAGTGGTCTTATGTGCACGGCTTTCGATGGTTTGAGACAGCAGCAAAGCCGTTGCCAGAAGTATTGACAGGGCTGACTCTTCGAACAACCAGCTACCAGTACCAGGTCAGTGGTAGGCATTATTTAGCTTTCTTACGAGTTTATTTACATTTTGTGTTGCTAGACAATTTGTACATTCGAGACATAAGGGCACATTCTACTAATGTAAATCATAGGTAGTGTAGATCAAGGAAGAGATAACCACATTATCATCGTCGCCGATGATGCCCCTTCGCCAGCTGGCGGGGGCGGGGCATAAGATTGTAGGGCGAGTAACTTTGAGCCCAGGCACTTCTGCTTTGTTCGGCTCTACGTTGGTGAGTAATAAAACGTTGTGCTCCTCTATCTATCTCTTGCTCTCGTTTAACCACTGAACCACCATTACAACAGGGACAGATAAAACCCTAGTCTCAAGCACCCACAAAAGTCTGGTGCATCGGCCTAAATAAGCCAATACTCCCGCGTCAAAGCGTAACAACTTTGGGGCCAGGAGACGAGACAAGCTCTTTGAGCAAACTTTTATTTGGTCGAACTCAAGACCACGAATCAATAGATTCAAAAGCCTCCCGTACCAAGTACTTGGAGCAAATCGGCTACTATAAGCTAATAGGTATTTCGAAAAAGGATCAATACCAAAAGAAAAATAATATAATGGCGCTGCAGTTTCATAAGACGCCCATTGTACTGAGTGCAAAGACACTCAAAAACTTAGTACTCCGCTACAAGGAGTACACATCGAAAACAGACTTCTCCACAATAGATGAGGAGAACTATGAGAAGTGCAGATCTACGATCGCACTACTACAGAGTGGCCTACAGCAAGTAAAAAACGGCCGAGAAAACTAGAAAAACTCTATACAGAGATCAGAGAGGAGCTCAAAACCTGCAAAACAAAATCGGAAAAAAAGGACTTAGCTGCCGAAATCGAGCAGATAGAAGAGGAATCAAGCCTAAACTTGATAATAGCAGAGTCGGAGGACCTAAGTTACATGCTAACAGCACGCCTCGATGAAGCAAGCCAGGCACAGAATGAATGTCAAACTTGGGTACATCCACAAAAAGCACAAATTGAAAATAACGAATCAGATGACCACGTAGTTCATACTGTACCAGACGAAGATAGGGTCAGTACCGAAAACGGAGAGAATAGCGCTTTCCAGTCCAGCGCACCTATTCCAGAATGTTTCAAGCGGATTACTTCCCGTACGAGACAACTCCTGTAGATCTAAAAGCCTCCACAGGCCACGTTACCGAAGTTTTACGGCAACGCACAAGATTTCCCCGAATTTTGGGCAGTTTTTGATACACTTGTTCACAAAAGCACCGAACCTCCATTGTATGCAAAAATTATCGCTACTTCTTAAGGGAAAGGCCTCAAACAGAGCTCAGAACATAATAAAGGGAATCAAACTTATCCCAGAGAACTACAACTGGCTCATTCAGACACTACAAGAAAACTACTACAATCAGCCGGTAAACCGTTCACAAATAATTCAAAAACTGGTGAATATGAGACCAGCAACTAATTCAGCTGACAACTGCGCAGCTGTCCTCGATCAAATTCAGGTCCTAATCAACCAAATGATATCCGCAGGGTACGACGTGCGGAAAACTTGCGATCCCATCTGGTGCGAAACGATTATAGCCAAGTTTCCCCAGGATGTTGTCAAGCCTGTCTTGATATCGGGACAATCACAACTTACTCAAACAACGGAAGAGTTGATGGGCAATCTCAAAAAAGAGATCGCCGCCAAGTTGTACATTGAAAACAGACTTGGCCACACAATCGAGAATAAGCCTGGCCAGAAGGTCAATCAGCCGCGAGAAAGATACGCTCCACGACCTCAATCTGGTGACGAGTGTGTGTTTTGCCACAAAAACAATCATACTTCAGTGGCGTGCCGAACAGTCACAGACCAGAGCAGCCGCCGCAACTCCTTAAAAGAAGAGAACAGATGCTGGAAATGCTGTTCTCGCAATCACAACAGTTACGACTGCCAGAAACCAGACGTCCTCTATGCGGGCAGAAACACCATCCAAGTATTTGTTTCAAAAAGGTCAAATGCAAATGGTCACAATTACACCCCTTGGTACGCTAACCAAAAGAACCCAAGAGGACAAAACTCTAACAGACCCTTACCCGTCCAGAACATGGGCCAAATGCAGCATGATAGTGGCGAACGCCACATGTGGAGAGTTCTCGAGCAACCTGCATAACATGAATTAAGATAAGACGGTAACTTCAGAGCAAAGTCAGAAGACATCACAGCTCGTCTTGATGACAGCCGAGGGCAATATTTGGAACTTCAAAAAGCAAAAATACGAAAAAGTATGTTGTTTCTTGATTCCGGAGCTCAGAAAACAGTAATAGAAGCAAAGCTAGCATACGAACTGGGCTTGCCGAAATATTCAACCGAAATCTGCACCATGTCAGGCATGGGCGGCCATATTGAAAGATTCAAAAGCGATATAGTACTCACAAAACTGAATTGAAATGAAAATCCAATCAAAGCCAGTCATAACAGGTGGCTTTCCAAGCGTCAAGCTATGCACAGCCGACGTTACATTCTTAAAAGAAAACAGTATTTATCTTGCCAACTCAAAGGTTCGTGGTGAATACCAAAAACCTCACATCCTCGTTGGTTTGGATTATTATCATGAACTGATATACGGTCCAAATGATCCGCTGAAAACGCCATCAGGACTACATATCACGAAAACAGTTTTTGGACCAACCGTTTACGGCAAAGGTCTTCTAACTGCGGAAATGACTTCAAATGACTTCTGCTATGCAATGACAGCAGTTACTGAACAGACGAAACAGAAAATTCTTCAAAAGAAACACCTGAAACACCCACAACGTGCAATGGGATCCAAGGCTGAATCGATTGAAAAGGGCTGGATACCCAGGAGCAAATTTCCTCACTAATGATGCAAAGCGACCGAGATAATTACTTCGGTCGGTAGTTATTTGAGGCCTGATAAAATAGTAATCCCAAATAACGAGGCCAGTCGTGGAGTAGTAGACAAATATCCGGTTCCTCCTCGAAATCCGCCTGTATCTTCCAGGAAATCAGGGCCACCGACAAAAAAGCAGATCACAATACTGCTAACGAAGAACTGCCTACAAGCAGTGCCAAAGAAGGCACAAAAAAGATTGCGGTAGAAACGAGGCAAAGCTTTCCTCGAGCGTCAAAAATACGCGCATATGACCTTTTCCGCAATATGGATAGTGATTCAAGCCAGTCATATGTGACGACATCCATATCATCGTCATTGATATTCCTTGCAATATCACTGTCAGTACTGATTAGCCCGACAATGGCAATCAATAACTCTTCCATCATATCTTGCTCAAATGGCGTAATTAGCGTGCCACCCATCAAGGGCTGGTTTGAATTATGCATCGATAACGATTGCCAATCCATGAATAACACAACACGCTATATCAAATACTTACTACCGATATCTCCGACTGAAAAAGGAGCTAATGTGCAATTACGTACTCTCAGCGCAAACGGAGTACAAGAGCAACACTGGCTTTGTGACAGACCAAAGTTTTGTGAACATCAATATCTCCTTTCGAAAAGCTTACTGGGAAACCCCCACTGCTGGCCTGCTGGAGCAATCGCTACTTCAGCAGTGTTAATTTATCTCATTATAGCGGCATTCATGTTTGCTACATGGGTGGCCGTCAAAATCACTAGAAAAATGAAATCTCACAGATCAATGATAAGACCGGAAGACATGAAACAGATGCACCGTCAGCACCAGTTTGTAGTTTTGAACTGACACCACTCCCTAGTGCTGTGGTTGCATTATGTACCCTAGTGTGCTTAGTATCGTCCACAGGCGCATGTCAGTACGGTT